TGAGATCCCACTAAGTAGTTTAGACGTTCAGCGGACAATTCAGCGAGTTAACCAAAAAATCCAATCTTTTGCTCAAAATCAAATGCTTACAAACTAAAAAATTCGCCGCTTAGTTAAAGTTTTCTACTTGTTCAGTTCCCAATATATAAAATATTTCTAACACTCAGTATTCTCACACTCTCCTTTTCCACTCTTTCCCAGCTAGCAAATAGACCACATTCTCAAAAGTTCAAAGCTTAATACTTCCACGGCAAAGAAGATAAGACTAAAACCAAACGGGTATTGAAAGTTTGAACTGAATTCACAGGTTTTAAGGTTCAAACCTCTAATAGGAGCGGCCCATGTCCGGCCTTCGATGCGCTTGATACCATAAACCAGCAAAGAAGCCCATGGCTGGTGCATAGTCAAACATGGGTTTCTGTAATTCCCAGAAGAATGCCCTCTTCTCATCTCTGCTTCTTTGATTCTTCAGAAGGGACAGGCAACTTGATTCTCTCGCCGCTAATTGTTTCCGAGAATCTCCGATAAACTTAGTTACAAGAATGATTTTAATGAGTCAATAATTAGGAAACGCTTCTTTTTTTCATGTTTGAGGCGACAGCAGACAAGACTAAAGTGGGAAAATCACATGTAGTGGTTGTGTTTTTTGTTTTTTGGTAAAGAGGAGGGCAAAGCCCAACAAAACACTAAGGCCCCGTTTGGTTCACGGAATGAATTTGATGGGAAATCATTTCTCATGTCATTTCCCAATGGATGGGAAATTGTGATTCCTTTCTCATGTTTGGTAATGCCAGGAAAGTGACCCGGAAATATCACTTTATTTCCTTTCCCATGTTTGTTTTGAGTAGGAATGGAAAACAAATTTTGTTTAGTTTCCCAATTGTACCCCTATTAAAATAATAAAAAAATACCAATTATTATTGGATAAAAACTGTAATTATGAATTGTTAGTAAGGACAAATTAGTCAAAAAAAAGTTAGTCTTACTTTCCCATGGGAAGGGAAAGTGAAACCCAAGTAGGAAGGAATGATTCACTTTCCCTCCTACTTTCCCATGTCCTAGGCAACGCTTTCCCATGCTTGACTTACCAAACATGGGAAAGCAATTGGTTTCCCATCCCCAAGACCCATGAACCAAACGCAGCCTACTTGGTTTGACAAAGATGTCCTCATCAATAACCCCACAAATACATGTGGATTGTTTGTACTGATTTGGCCTTAAGTGATGCATCTAGCTGAATTACAAAAAAAAAAAAAAAAAAAAGNNTTTTTTTGTTTTTTTCACAACTTTTTTTACTTAAACAATTATTTTAGATAATATTTTCGGGTAAGATTTTTGGGTTCCTACGTGTCAATAGTATTCATATCATATAAGATTTTTGGTTTCACATTTCAGATAAATTTCAAATTTCAGATACATTTCAAAATTCAAATTTCAGATAAATGTAAAATTTCAAATTTCAAATGAATTTCAAATTTCAGATAAGATTTTCACCCTCTAAAATTGCGCCACATGTCATCTCTATCTGCCTAAATTATTCTATAAAACCAGAGGCTCACCTCATACCTCCCACACCATATCTTCTCTACATTTCCATTTCTCAGATTTCCATATCTTCTCTACATTTCCATTTCTCATATTTTAGATTTCAATCTCCATTCTCAATGGCATACATGGAAGAGGTTTTGGAGAGACAAGAGCGAGAAATTAGAGAAAGAATGCTTAGAAGAGCTGCAAGCAAGAGGGTGCATAGAGATCTAGATGAGCAACTTGGCATAGCTGTGGCTTTGCTTAAGGAAGAAAACCAGAGCCGCCGTGGTTCACGTGAAGGCCGTCGCCCGAATGTGGACAGACATAGACATTCTCGAGGTAAGAATCTTCTAGAAGATTATTTTATCCCACAATCTCTGTACTTTGATGTTGATTTTCGAATGTGATATAGAATGCAACCACATTTATTCAATAAAATCATGCATGATATTTGCAATTATGATGAATACTTTGTTCAAAAGAAAAATGCTACTGAAAATTTGGGACTTCTTCCCAAGCAAAAGTTCACAGCAGTGATACGAATGTTAGCGTATGGGTCATCTGCTGATCAGGTGGATGAGGTTGTCCGTATGGGGAAGTCCACTATTTTGGAGGCCTTGGTGCGATTCTGTGATGCAATGGAAACTCATGCACTGGCAATGGAAAAATTGTCCAACTGCTTGGCAAGGGGATTACGAAAACAAGAAAGGGCAGAAATCAATCATCCTTGAAGCAGTTGCTGGATTCGATACATGGGTTTGGCATGCCTTCTTCGGAGTTGCCGGATCTCAAAACGATTTTAACGTCCTGGGTCAATCCCCGGTGTTTAATGATGTATTGAGTGGTGAAGCCCCAAATGTCACCTATGAAATCAACCATACCGTCTACCAAAATGGGTATTATCTAGCTGACGGCATCTACCCAAGGTGGACCACATTTGTCAAATCAATTCCACATCCCCGATCCCATAAGCAAAAATTATTTGCTACCTATCAAGAGGGTTACAGAAAAGATGTGGAGAGGTGCTTTGGTATCCTCCAAGCGCGGTGGGCTATTATTAGGGGCGCGGTGCGTCTATTTGACGAAGAGGTGCTTAGGAGCATAATGATGACTTGTATCATCCTCCACAACATGATTGTGGAGGATGAGTATGATTATCTAGCTGATGAAGTGTATGAGGCAGATCCCATGAACACGGCATTGACACGGATTTATGAAAAACCCATGGGGCCAAATGGAGAACCAGTGCAACATGACCTGTTGGTTCAAGATGGTATTTTCATGCCCCGTATGATTGATCGCTACAAGGAGATGCAATCATCGTATATTCATGAACAACGTCAAGTTGACTTGATGGAGCATTTATGGGCGGTGAAAGGCAATGAAGGTGAATGAAGTGAAGTGAAGACGTTTTTTTAATTTATTATGTTGATGTTGTATTTTCAGTTATGCTTTGTTTTTTAAATGCTTTGGTTGTGGTTTTTTTATTTTGTATGCTTTGGTTGTGGTTTG